TTCTATTTTAACAGCAAGGTGACACTGTCCTGGTGTCAAAGGATCTGATTCTTCAGTTAAAGCCAAGATTGTGAGAGTATTCTTTCTCATGGATGTTCTATTTTAACAGCAAGGTGACTGTCCTGGTGTCAAAGGATCTGATTCTTCAGTTATCTTTTTGTGTTTGTTTGCTTTAGGGTGTGTGCACTCACCAGAGAGAGAGAAAGAGAGGGAAAGTGAGAAATTACCCCCTGAGGGATGGCCATGATGCAGTCCCTTCTCCTCCAGTCTCCTCCGTGGATTTTGGGCACGCATGCATGCACACCTGCCTGGTGTGATTTTCAAGCCACCAAGTCCAGGACTTGAACCTTGCAGTCAGCCATGTGGGATCCAGCGCCTAAGCCTCCACACCCCCTGCTGGCCCTTTTCAGTTATGACATGAGGGTGGATGTGTAAAAACAGAAGCAGAGTAGAAACACAGTTAAGGAAGTCGGGGAAGACTGTTCCTGTTGACCGTAGGCAAATGAGCGTTTCTTTTCAGTGTGGTTGGTTTGCTTGGTGCCTGAGGTTCTCAGTGGGGTTACTCATGGAAGTTACAAGCAGGACATTTGCAGTGGGGTTTTGCCTCTGTCCAAGGCTAGCCTGGGGCCTCTTTTGTAATTGTGGCTCTCAATGTCCTTTGAATAGGCTGTGGATCCCTCAAAAGGCGAGTGACTTATCACACCTCAAGGTAGCTCAGTTCCTGATTGTGGATGGAATTCAGAGTCCTTGGGCATTGCCCTTTGACAGAAGACAGGGTGGCCTTTTCTTCCCTTGGCAGAGTTTGGAGTGGCAAGTGGGAAGCGGCCAGCCCTTTTCTCCACTTTTCAGAAGGCAGTATTTGTTTGCAATAAGTTTACTGTTGCTTGTTCCAATCATTTGGGGAAAAGACAAAAAAAATAATGTAGTGTCCAAAACAGCATTCGCTCTGACTTAGTAGCCGAACGAGGGTACGGGTGTGGTGAACAGGTTATGTTTTTAAACCACTCAAATGATTATGTTGTCGATAGAAAGGAGGAATTTGGGACTAGAATAGCGCTGTCAATCTTCACAAGACCTTCTAGACTCGGGTATTTTCAGGCCTCCCTGACTGGGGCAGACCAGCAGAGATCTAAGGTGGAGGAGGTGGCCTTAGAGGGCCTGCTGTATGCCAGGCCCTCTGTTATGCGCTAAAGATAAAAAAGGAGTAAGGGAACCAGCAGTTAGCGTAATGGCTATGTCGCTGGACTCCCACGTAGTCGACCGCGGTTCGTGTCCCGGACCCAGTGGCTTAAAACTCACGCCGGGCGCGTGTGCGTGCGTGCCCAAGATCCCGAGAGGAGAATGGAGGAGAAGGGATTGCGGCGTGACCATCCCCCCCGGGGGGTGATTTCTCACTTTCTGTCTCTATGTCTCTCTCTGTCTGTCTGGCGAGCGCACGCGCCCTACAGTGAAAATCTCTCCAAAAAAAAAAAAAAAGGAGTAAGACGGGCTGCTCTTGAGCAGCCTGGACTCAGACGAGACAGATACGGAAATAACACAATGGCAGTGTGCTAGAACTGCCTGTGCCGAGCTGAGAACACCTGGGAGGCAGCAGTAAAGGCTGTCCCCTTACCTGGGTGGAGGTAAAGCCATGTCTGGAACTTCGTGTGTGCCTGGTTAGTTGTCACAGTCAATGAAGAATGGTTGAAAAAAGAAAAAATTAAAATTTAACCATTGCGAACGGGGAGCAAGCCCAGCTTAAGGCATGCAAGTGCTGAGCGTAGAGTCCCTCCGATGGCCAAGAAGGGTGGGCTGAAGTTGAAGGGCTTTGTATGCCTAGGCAAGGACCTCATACTGTAGGCCAGCGGTTCTTTGACTCTAAGGGCGTATTTTACTGTCATGTGCACAGAGACATCACATTTTGTATTCCATCCGCCTGCAGGAGTGCTTGATACAAATACGGATTGTTGCATCTGCTGCACTTATGTTGATGTTGACCATGACCCCAGCCATGTGGCTCTTCCTAAATTGCCGATAGTTTGGGAACAGTGGTTGTAGCCTCCTGAGAAGTCTTTTTTTTTGGAGAGGTTTTTGCTATAGGGCGCGTGTGCTCGCCAGACAGACAGAGAGAGACAGAGGGACAGAAAGCGAGAAATCACCACCCCCTGGGGGGGATGGCCATGCCGCAGTCCCTTCTCCTCTATTCTCCTCTTGGGATCTTGGGCACGCACTCACACACGCCTGGTGTGGGTTTTAACCCACCAGGTCCGGGACGCTAACTGTGGTCAACTACATGGGAGTCCAGCAACATAGAGCCATTACGCTAACTGCTGGTTCCCGCTGGGGGGGAAACCTCTCCAAAAAAACAAAAAATGTAAAGAGAGGGAGAGCACACCGTTACATGGACCGTGTCCCTACAGTGACCCCTGCCCTCCATCTCTCTAAAACAACAACAACAACAACAACAACAAAAAAAAAAACTCACAGCTAACATCATATATTTAATGGAAAAAGACTAGATGCTTTTTTTTCCCCAACACTAGGAACAAGAAAAGGATACCTACTTCTACTTTTGTATTCAACACTATACTATCAATAGAAGTTCTAGCCAGGGCAGTCAGGCAAGAAAACCACATAAAAGGTATCAGGGTTAGAAAGGAAAGATTATCCCTGTTCTCGGATGACAGTACCTTGTATGTAGAAACCCTAAGAAATCCACCAAACTATTAGCACTAATGAACAAGTTCATCAAGATTGCAGGATACAAGATAACATACAACCTCGGCTGTATACTTACACATTTGCTATGACCAACCTAAAAGCAAAAGAATCATTCCCCATTTACAGTAGCATCCAAAAGAACAGGAATTAAAAAAAAAAGGAATAAATTTAGTAGAGCACAAAACTTACATTCTGGGAACTACAAAACATTGTTGAAGATCTTAAAGACCTAAATGGAAGACTTCCTATGTCATTGATCTAAATATTTAGTATTGTTAAGATGTGAGGCCAGCCTGTGGCATGGTAGTTAAGGCAGCTGGATTTTACATGGCCAAATACATAGTTTGAGTCCTGAACCCAGCAACTTGGTAAACACACTGTATGTGTGCGTATGCATGCCCTAAATCTTAAGATGAGTATAGAGGAGATAGAATTTGTGGCATGACCATCCCATCCCTGGGGATTGCTTTCTCACTTTTCCTGTCTGTCTTTCCAGCGAGTACATGTGTTTTATAGCAAAAACTAAAAAGAAAAAAAGAGGTCAGAGAGATGGCAGTACACTCTAACTTGATCTATAGATTCAACACGGTCCCTCTCAAATCCCAGTTTACCTCTGCAGAAATTGACACATTGATTGTAAGAGTCATATAGGAATGCCAGGAACCCAGAATAGCCAAAAAATCCTGAAAAAGAACAAAGTCTAAAACTCACTTCTTGATATCAGAACTTAACAAAGCTATAAGTGATCAATAATCCTAACACAGTTCATTGATTTTCACAGCGTGACAGTTTAACGGAAAAAATGGAGCTGGGCAACTGGACATCGACATGCAGAAACATAATGCTAGACCCCCTACCTCACACCGTATACAAATAAATATTAGCTTAAAATGGGTTAAAGACCTAAATGTAAGAACTAAACATAAAAATCTTAGAAGAAAATAGATGTAAATCTTTGTGTACTTTGATTAACCAGTGGTTTAGGTCTGTCACCAAAAAACAAAAACAGCAAAAGAAAATAAAAAGGAGTTTCAGAATTCATTTTTGTGCTTCTGTGACACTGGATGTATCAAAACATGAAAAACACCCTATAGAATGGAAGAAAATAGTTGCAAGTCATAGTCTAACAAGTAATTTGTGTCTGGAATATGTATAGAGCTCTTATAGCTCGTTAATAAAGACAACCCAATTAAAAATGCACAAAGGATTTAAATAGACACATCTCCAAAGAAGACATACAAGTGATCAAGAAGTCCATGAGAAGATGCTTAACATCATTCGCCATCAAGAAAATGCAAATCAAAACCATTAGATACTGCTTTATACCTACTCAGATGATTATAACTTTTAAAACAGATAATGACAGGTATTAGTGAGAATGTGGAGAAACTGGAACATTCATACACTGATAGTGGGAACGTAAAGTGGCATAGCCGCTTTGGAAAGCAGTCTGGCAGTTTCTGAAACAATTATTTATAGAGTTATCGTATGATCCAGCAATTCCACTTCTAGGTATATCCACAAGAGAATTGAAAGCCTCCACAGACTTATTCATAATAGCCAGAAAATAGGGACGACCTATGTCCTACAACTAACAAGTGGATTAAAAGATTGGTATAACTGTAAATGAACTATTATTCTGCAATACAGAGAAATAGAGCACTGATGTACCGCAACGAGGATGGTCCTCGAAAACATGATGCTAAGTGAAAAAGAAGTCACAACAAACCATGTGTTTTTTGGTCCTGTTTATGTGAAATTTCCAGAGTAGAGAAATAATGGAGACAGAATATAGATTGGTGATTGTCTGGGGCAGGGATGAGTAGAGTGGGCAACGGCTGATGGGATTGAAGGGTGATGGCTAAAAGGTGCAGTTTGTCTTTGGGGCGTTGAGAATGCTCTAAAGCCGATCTTGGGATGGTTGCACAACTCTGTAAATACACCCAAAGCAACTGACGTTCACACTTGAGTGCATTGTGTGGTATGTGCATTATATCTCCATGAAGTTGTTATAAAAAAACCACATGGGTTTTCGATGTGTACCTTTTTTAAAAAGAATTTTTTTATTTAACTTTATTTACTTATTTATTTTTGACCAGAAAGACAGAAAGTCAGAGAAGGAAAGTGAGAAAGCAAGCTGCCAGGTTCAGGACTTGAACCACGGTCAGCCATGTGGGAGTCCAGCACCTCAACCACCACACCACCTGCTGGCCCCTTGATGTGTAGCTTAGCGTTCCACGTGCTGATTTGTTCTCCTTATCTTTAAGTCCTCCTTGAACATACTCTCCCTTCCTCCCCAGAGCTGAGCCTGTCCGCCGGGTGTCTGCAGCTGGAGCGGAAGAGGAGAGATTTCACCTCTTCTGTGAGTCGGAAGCTCTACCTGGACACCCATGCCTTAGTGTGCTTACTTGAAGAAAATGGTAATCGTTGTCCCTCGTCCCTGGCCACACGGTGTCTTAGAAAAACAATAGCTACTATGACTCTTGTGTAGTTTCATTTCCGTCCTCACAGTTCTCTTTGACTTCAGCCCTACAGGTAATCTTTGATCAATGTCTGGGTTTTGGTTTTGGTTTTCTCTAATTGCCAGAGAACATGTGATCTTGCCGGAAAGAAACAGAAGGAGAGGGAGAGAGCACCCCCCACGGGGGCATGGCTGTGCCAGGGTCCTCCTCCGTTTTTTTAACCTCATTGGAATTTTAGACATGCACACATGTACACCTGGTATGTTTTACAAGACACCTGGGCCAGGGCTCAGACCACTTATCCACGTGGGGCCCAGTATCCCTTACCCATGAGCCATGGGGCTGACCCAGTGTCTGTCTTTAAGTCATTTTTGTTTAAGGGCATTTGTGCTTCATTAATACGATGGAAACTTCTCACACACTTTTGTCTTGTTTTAGTGAAACGCATTTTTATGACATCACCATAGAAGTTTAAGGTAACAGATAAAAATTCAGACACGGGTGAATAAAACTCAGCCATGATCCTGTGACAGTCGTGTCTGAAATACAGAAGTGGTGGTTTTATCCTGTGTGTTTTTTAGGATTTTATGAACTTGAAATGTTACTGAGCAGCTATTGTTAATCATTTCAGTTTATTGTGTCTTGTTTTATTTTAAGGTTTTTGTCATAGGTGCGTGTACTCGCTAGAGAGAAAGTCAGTGAGAGGGAATATGAAAAATCAACCACCCACCCACCCCCTGCCCCAGTGGGGATGACCATGCCACAGTCCCTTCTCCTCCGTTCTCCTGAGATCTTGGGCACGCACACACGAAGCTCTACCTGGACACCCATGCCTTAGTGTGCTTACTTGAAGAAAATGGTAATCGTTGTCCCTCGTCCCTGGCCACACGGTGTCTTAGAAAAACAATAGCTACTATGACTCTTGTGTAGTTTCATTTCCGTCCTCACAGTTCTCTTTGACTTCAGCCCTACAGGTAATCTTTGATCAATGTCTGGGTTTTGGTTTTGGTTTTCTCTAATTGCCAGAGAACATGTGATCTTGCCGGAAAGAAACAGAAGGAGAGGGAGAGAGCACCCCCCACGGGGGCATGGCTGTGCCAGGGTCCTCCTCCGTTTTTTTAACCTCATTGGAATTTTAGACATGCACACATGTACACCTGGTATGTTTTACAAGACACCTGGGCCAGGGCTCAGACCACTTATCCACGTGGGGCCCAGTATCCCTTACCCATGAGCCATGGGGCTGACCCAGTGTCTGTCTTTAAGTCATTTTTGTTTAAGGGCATTTGTGCTTCATTAATACGATGGAAACTTCTCACACACTTTTGTCTTGTTTTAGTGAAACGCATTTTTATGACATCACCATAGAAGTTTAAGGTAACAGATAAAAATTCAGACACGGGTGAATAAAACTCAGCCATGATCCTGTGACAGTCGTGTCTGAAATACAGAAGTGGTGGTTTTATCCTGTGTGTTTTTTAGGATTTTATGAACTTGAAATGTTACTGAGCAGCTATTGTTCATCATTTCAGTTTATTGTGTCTTGTTTTATTTTAAGGTTTTTGTCATAGGTGCGTGTACTCGCTAGAGAGAAAGTCAGTGAGAGGGAATATGAAAAATCAACCACCCACCCACCCCCTGCCCCAGTGGGGATGACCATGCCACAGTCCCTTCTCCTCCGTTCTCCTGAGATCTTGGGCACGCACACACATGCACCCAGAGTGAGTTTCAAGCTGCCAGGTCTGGAATTTGAACTGCAGTTGGCCATGTGGGAATCCAGCACCGTAACCATGCCACCTGCTGGCCCTGTGTGTGTGTGTGTGTGTGTGTGTTTCAGTATCCAGACTAACATTCTCCCTTACTGCTGTTGAGTCTGTTAACGCAGAAAACCACTGTGGCATATACGGCGTTCATTGGAAGTGCGCCTGGAACGTAGGTAACACCCTGAGGCTGCACAGCACACAGGGAGCCCTGGTGCCATCCTGGGGCCTCCCTCTGTGCCTAGGGTGTGCTCACATGCCCGTGGATCAGGCTGCCTGGGGCTGGGGTAGGTCATAGTGTAAGGACCTGCTGTGAGGGCTTCTCTCTCTCCCTCCTTTCCTCCTCTCCTCTCCTCTCCTCTCTTCTTCTCTCTCTCTCTATCTCTATTTCTATCTCTATCTCTCTATCTCTATCTCTGAAGAAATAAACGTAATGTGGATAACATTCTTTTACTTAATCCTATTCAGACAAATACTGGGTCATTGGGAAAACCGTGATGCATTTTTGCATAGAAAAGCATGTCGTGGGGACCAGCAGATGGTGTACCGGTTCTATGGCTAGACTCCCACATAGTCCACTGCAGTTTGAGTCCTGGGCCTGGTGACTTAAAACTCACGCTGGGCCCATGTGCATGTGCCCAAGATCCTGAGAGGAGAATGACGGAGAAGGGATTGCGGTGTGACCATCCCCCCTAGGGAGTGATTTCCTGCTTTCTGTCTTCTCCAGCAAGTGCACACACCCTATAGCAAAAATCTCCCTAATAAAGGAAGACATGTCATGACTTTTCCAACGACCCAATACACCAATTATAATTCTCTATACTGCGATGCCTAGCTCAAAAATCGGAATTTCACATTAATATAGAGTATGCCTTTGGAATAGATGCAGCTGTGTGTTTACTGGATACGTCTTCGTGTCTGAAAACGCCCTCTGTAGGCGTACGTTACACGCCCAAGACAGCGGTGGTATGAAGGCTCTGTGCCTGTGGGGGCCAGGCAGGAGCTGCAGGTTCAGATCCAACTCTGTCCGTTCTGGTTTAGGGTCTGGAAGCCTTTCCCCTTCTCAGGGCTCATTTGCTCCCCTGTGGCACGGGCACAAGAATTCCAAAGGGCCCTTCGACTATAAAAAGGAGAAATGTATACGAGTACACTTGGAAAACCATCTGTAGCTCCGACAGTTTTTTTTGTTTGGAGAGGTTTTCGCTATAGGGCGCATGCGCTCACCAGAAAGAGAGAGAGACAGAGAGACAGAAAGCGAGAAATCACCCCCAGGGGGGTTGGCCTCGCCTCAAGCGCTCACCAGAAAGAGAGAGAGACAGAGAGACAGAAAGCGAGAAATCACCCCAAGGGGGGTTGGCCTCGCCTCAATCCTTTCTCCATTCTCCTTTCTGGATCTTGGGCACACACACACACACACACACACACACACACACATGCCTGGCGTGAGTTTAAGCCACTGGGTCTGGGACTCAAACCATGGTCGGCTTTATGGGAGTCCGGCGACATGGCCGCTCCACTAACTGCTGGTCCCTCATTTTCTTTTCCTCGTAGTTGCCCTTACATTTAACTGTGAATGTTTCATAAAGTTTTAATATTTATAAAAGATGTTCATTTTGAAAAATTAGGAAGACGGAGAAGAGAAAAGAAGAGAAACCAACCTCAGAGCCCAGCACCCAGAGCTGAAGAGTGCTAACATTTTAGATATTTTTCTGTTAATAATGTCCCTAGCACGCATGTGGGAAAATGGAAGGATTTTAAATACATCAGTGGGAGTAGGTCTTGCCAGGTCTTTTTTTTTTCCCTTTAAATCTGTCTTTGTTTTGTAGTCAGTTATAGCTCCATGCTTAATCACATCCAAACAAATTACATTAATTATAACGTTATTCAAACAAATATACCATTAGCTAATTACAGTAGTCAATAGATTCTTCTGATGTTTTTATAGGTGGAAGTATTTAATAGAAGGCATTACTTGCCAGGTACTTGGTTTTAAGCATTTTATTAGAACTTCTAATGTGAAATATGAATTACTATCTAGAGATACTAAAAGCAGCCACAAGGCCGAGTTAAATCCCTGTAGTCTAATCTACCATCATTTAATGAGTATCAGAGAATATGTATTTTCCACTTGGGCTCCCTCTCCCCCCCCCCAAAGCTGGTGACTGAAAGAGTTGTGGAGGAAAACAGTGGAAGAGCTGGTCCTGTCTTACAACAGGAAATTAGTCAACTAACAGCTAAGTTACTGTTTACATAGTCAGTTTATGCTGGCTATAAACTAATTGAGCTTTCCTATTGAAGTATATTTTTTTCAATGACATATGCTTTTTTATTTTGTTTCGTTCAAGGAGTGTGTGCTCACCAGAGAGAGCCACGGAGAGGAGATGGGGAGAGGGAGAGAGCACCGCCGACAGGGCACGTCAAGCCACCATCCTCTCTGTCTCCCCTTGTCAGGATGTTGGACTTGCATGCACACGCTCCTGGCATTTTTGTCCAGCCACCCGTTCTAGGACTCAAACTACACAGCTTGCCATGTAGGATCCAGCTGCCCTAACCACCAGGCCATGGAACCAGCCCAATAGCATGTACGTTTTAAATCAAATAATGTCCACGATAGAAAATCAGGACCAGCAGTTAGCGTAATGGCTATGTCGCTGGACTCCCATGTAGTCAACTGCGGTTCGGTAGTGGTAATGGTGCTAAAGGGAAGGCGAGGAATAAGATCTTGATAGGAATAGCTATTTACTAACTGATGGAAGTACTTTCTTCTTCTGTTTTTAAAATTTGCTATAGAGCATGTGTGCTCACCAGAGAGAGGCAGGAAGAGAGAAAGGGAGAAAGCACCCCTTGGGGGAGATGACAACAGGGCAACCCCTTCTCCTCTCCAGATTTTGGCCATGCGCACACACACGCCCCGTGTGTTTTTCGAAGCTGCTGGGTCCAGGACTCAAACCACTCAGTCAGTCATGTGGAATGCAGCCACCTTAACCACCATGCCACCTAGCAGGCTCTGGAAGTATGTTCATATTGTAACAATCAGTGTGGGCATATGGGCTGAATAGTAGCCATGTCTTTGGTAGCACGTGCATGTGTACACGTGTGTATTCGCTTGTGTGCGTGCCCTGCTGGACTGAGAGCACAGAGAAATGCAATCTAGTGCTCATCCCAAACCTCTCTATAATCAACAGCTTCACTCAGCTCCTGCCATGGGCTTTGGACTACCTGCAAAACTGATGGATTTAGGGACCAGCAGATGGCATACTGTTAACGTTGCCGGACTCCCACATAGTCGACCGGTTCAAGCCCCTGACTTGGCAGCTTCAAACTCACACCGGGCGTGTGTGCATGCCCAAAATTTTGAAAGGAGAATGGAGGAGAAAGGATTGCAGTATGATTTCTTGCTTTCTGTCCCTCTGTCTCTCAGTGAGCACACACACCCTATAGAAAAAAATCTCTCTTGAAACAAAACAAAACAAACAAATAAAAACACAAAAAAACTGGGACCAGCAGTTGGCGTAAGGCTATGTCACTGGACTCCCATGTAGTTACCCGTGGTTTGAGTCCTGGACCCAATGACTTAAACTCACGCTGAGTGCATGTGCGTGTGTGCCCAAGATCCCGAGAGGAGACTGGAAGAGAGGGGATTGTGGCATGACCATCCCCCTGGGGGTTGATTTCTCACTTTCTGTCTCTCTTCCTTTCTCTCCAGCAAACGCACACACCGTGTAGCAAAAATCTCTCTCTCAAAAAAAAAGAATCACAGTGTTTGAAAGGTCACTGTTCTTCAAAACCAGCCATGCCAATGAAATACACTTTAATAAATAGAGACATGGCTAGAATTATGGCTTCATGACACCGTGCTCTCGAGTCCTCAGACCCAGACTTTTTAACAGCAGTTTACTTGGTAATGATACGGCACGGGTGCTTTTATTCTTTTCCCTGTCTCACTTTGGAATAGAAGGTGACCTCACCAAACCTCTCCTCTCGTACGCACTGTTCCAGTCTCGGATTAAGGTAACGGCAAGTCCAGATGACCATAAATTATGCTTTATTTCTCTTTTCTCAGGAGATCACTCTTCAGCAGATAATGTCTCAGATTGCTAACGTGAAAAAAGACATGATTATTTTGGAGAAGAGCGAGTTTTCAGCCCTCAGAGCGGAGAATGAGGTAAAGCTACAGAAACACTCATGCTGATAAAATCCATCTTACTAAGACTTTGGAACATCATACACACACAAAAGAGCACTAGTAAATACACACGTCCTTTTTTGACAATTATTTAATTTTATATATTACTGTTATTATTTTTTCATTTGCTATAGGGCATGTGTACTCACTCGATTGACAGAGAGGGAAAGTGAGAGAGCAAGCTGCCAGGTCCAGGACTTGAACCGCAGTTGGCCAGGTGGGAGTCCAGTACCTTAACCACCGTGCCACATGCTGGCCCCACGTGTACACGTCTTAGTGGTTACGTTGCTTGTAGACAGAAATGCCTGAGACTGGGTGATGCACAAAGCATAGAGGCTTATTTCGCTCTCACAGGTGGAGAGTCCAGAGGCATGGGGCCGGTGTCATGCTGTCTCTGGGCTCCGCCACATTGTGGCCGCCAGAGCAGCGAGGAAGGGGGACACATGCAAAGGAAGAGGAAGTGGAATTCCACATCCCCTGTCCCTCCCAGCCTCCAGCTGACCGGACGGTGCCCTCCCATTAGACTGAAAGGTCTCACCCCTCCCAGTGCCATTGTACCAGGGACCAAGCTTCCAGAACATGAACCTTTGGGGACAGCCACTGTCTAGACCTTAGCAGTACACCTTGGTGAACTTCACAGAGTGCATACTGCCAGTCAGATCAAGAGGGACGTTACCGACACCCGACAGTCACACGCGCTCCTTCCAGGCACGCCTTGCCCAGGGGAAATCGGTCTCCTGGCCGGGTTGTGCCTGTCCTAGGGCTCCCCGCGGTGACATCACAGCACGTCTTAGGGCCGCCAATGGTTTTCCACTGTCCGGAGTATCATGTGGAGACGCCGTGTCAGTCTGCCGTGATGTGTCAGAACTCTCTCCGGTTTTTGCTAATTACCAATGACTGCCGCTGCAGAATCCTGCTTCCCTGTCTTTGACTGGCATGTGGGTCCGCATGGACATGGGTGCTCTAGATGGATAAATAAACGATAGAGCGATCGATCGGTGCAGCTTACCTTTATTTTGGTCCTGTGTAAAGTCCCATAAAGGAAGCCCATTTGCAGTGGATCTTAGTCTGGGAAGAAACCGAGCACAAAAGCTAGAGTTTGAAACTGTTGAAGTTATCCTTGAACTCACCTGTTTACGGAAAGACTAAGTTAAAAGAAAAACCGAAGGAAGCATTAAAGCAGGGTCACTGGAGACAAACGAGTATGTGAACGGCAGTTGTGTCCCTCATTTTATGTGACCATCAAGATTGGATAAAACCGATTCTAAGATGCACACACCCACGGCCATGTGGCTGTTCACTTAGAATCGGGCCCAGTGCAGTCAAGTCCCCACCTGGGGGAAGAACTTGATGAACTTGTGCATAAATACACATAATATTTGTTGGTTACCAAGGTCTGTGTTTCTTCTAACTTTAATCATTATTTTATTTAACTTTATTTGTTATTATTTTCCAGTTTGATCAGAGAAAGTGAGAAAGCAAGCCATGAGGTCCGGGTCTTGAACTGCAGAATCCAATGCCTTTAACCTCCATACCACCTGCTGGCTCCTCTTCTAACTTTCTAAACACATGTTTGACTTATTTCTTTTTAATGTGTTTGTTTTTAGAAAATAAAACTTGAACTACATCAGTTAAAACAACAAGTAATGGTAAGAGTCTCCTTCACGTTTGCTGACTTATCTGTAATTATACAAATGTATTCATAAATGTATCAGAGGTATGGAATATGTTCTTAGAAACAGTCCTAGTTGAAGTGTATTGTAATATGTCTCAAAGTACACACTGGAATATTTAGCTAAGAACACAGCCATTGAGTCAATTACTGATGTTCGTAACCAGATTCATTAAGAAAATTGGGTTCAAGAAGGAATTAAGAAATGTTTACGTCAGCCTTTTTCAGAGGAGCCACGTGGAACCCTTCGATTCTCAGAACAGACTAGAGAACAGTGTGATTTGGAAATGGCTGCAGTACAGGCTGTTCGATGTTTTAGGTAGAAAGAAACACTAATGCTAAAGATGAAAAGTTTGTTTTTAGAGAAGAGATTTTTGCTATAGGGTGTATATGCTCACCAAAGAGACAGTGAGAAATCACCCCCCAGGGGGGATGGCCACAGCGCAATCCCTTCTCCTCCATCTTCTCTCGCGATCTTGGACACACACGTACACATGCCCCGCCTGAGTGTCAAGTCTCTGGGTCTGGGGCTCAAACCGTGGTCACCCACATGGGAGTCCAGCGACATAACTTATTATGCCATCTGCTGGTCCCAGAAGAGAAGATTTAGATGACTATCAGAAAGAAGACCTTATTTGAACCAAAATGGAGTATTTTACTTTTTGAGTGTATATGCACCGTCCAAAGATGTCTCCCCATCCGCCCCATTGCTCAGTTCCACCCTGAGGACCTCCGAGGTAGAGCAGCCGTAACCCACTCCCGACTGGCTGGAGCAGAAGCAGGGGTTGCTCGTGGCTGTAACAGGGAAGCCCTGGCGCAGGACTGGCTCAGCAAGGCCTAGGCCGGATCCCTGACCGCGGCCCTCCCGGGCAGGGGCCCTGGGGTGAGAGGCTATGGTTGCCGGGGTCCCGGGCTGCACGCGGGGGCATTGTCACTGCTTACCCTGGGTCTCTTTTTGTCGTGTGCCTTCCTACTAGGATGAAGTGGTCAAAGTCCGGACAGATACCAAGTTAGACTTCAACCTAGAAAAGAGCAGAGTGAAAGAGCTGGTACGTGTCCTTCCTTCGAAACGGGCTGGGATGGCTTCCTTTCTGGGAGGGGACGCTGGGCGTGCAGTCTGTGCACCTGCCGGGCCTACGTGACCGCCCGTATCTGCCCGTTTATGTGCCACAGACCACTCTCCTTTATTTTACTTACATGCTGGATTACCGCTCAAATGTGGTGCTTTGGGAAGTAATATTAAAATGAAAATCTTGGGAACCAGCAGTTAGCGTAATGGCTATGTCGCTGGACTCCCACGTAGTCAACCGTGGTTCGTGTCCCGGACCCGGTGGCTTAAAACTCACGCCGGGCGCGTGTGCGTGCGTGCCCAAGATCCCGAGAGGAGAATGGAGGAGAAGGGATTGCGGTGTGGCCATTCCCCCTGGGGAGTGATTTCTCGCTTTCTGTCTCTATGTCTCTCTCTGTCTGTCTGGCGAGCGCACGCGCCCTACAGTGAAAATCTCTCAAAAAAAAAAAAAAAATCTTGGTCAAATTGAGTTGAATCTGTTTCAGATACTGGAGGATGTGTCACTTAGACATTGATAAAGAAATTAAACTCAGTCTGTTTGTTTGTTTTTGCTATAGGGTGTGTGTGCTTGCCAGACAGACAGAGAGAGACATAGAGACAGAAAGCGAGAAATCACCCCCCGGGGAGATGGTCATGCCGCAATCCCTTCTCCTCCATTCTCCTCTCGGGATCTTGGGCACACAGGCACACGCGCCCGGCGTGAGTTTAAGCCACCAGGTCCAGGATGCGAACCGCGGTCGACTACATGGGAGCCCAGCGATGTAGCCGTTATGCCAACTACCGGTCCTAAACTCAATCTTAATCTTTGTAATACTGACTTAAATCTCTGCCGGCACTAATTCTGCAAGTTGGGAGAAAGAATTGCAGTATGACCATTCCCCTGGGGGATGATTTCTCACTTTTCTATCTCTCTGTTTCTCTTTCTGTCTCTCTAGCAGATGCATGTGCCCTAGAATAACAATCTCTCTGAAAACAAACAAACAACACTGAGCATGTGTTCATGCGTGCCCAAAGTCCCGAAAAGAGGGCCCTGGAGAAGAAGGGATTGCATGACCTTGCCCCACACAGCGTGTTTTCATGCTTTGCCTTTCTCTCCAGTGGGCACGTGCCTTCTGTGGCAAAACTGAAGTACGTAAATGCAGTGAGAGGGGGGTGGTGGTGGTGGCGTTGTTTTAAGAGATTTTTGCTATAGAGTACGTGCATTCACCAGAGAAAGGAAGTGAAAAGTCAGCCCCCAGGGTGGATGGCCACAGTGCAGTCCCTTCTCCTTTCTCCTCTCGGGATTTTGGGCACGCACACACACCTGCTGAGCATGAGTGTCAAGCCACCGGGTCCCAGACCTCAGCTGCAGTCAACTACGTGGGAGTCCAGCTACGTAACCATTACGCCATCTGCTGGTCCCGAAGGCGTGTGTTCTAATAAAGATCCGTGGTGGGTGGGCTCTGGTGAGTTGTATCCCTGTCTGGGTGCCCGTTTGTCCTCTGGCTCAGACTTTATTCCGGGTGACACCAGTTAGATGCCTTCTTTTCACCCTGAGCACGACGAGAGGTGGGCAGAACGAGCATTTCACTCGCAGAGCCGGGCCCGCACGCGGAAGCCGGAACTCCGGCGTGCATCAGCTTCTCCTCTCGGGACAGTTTGCATGTAATGACAAACGAAGCTAATGTTGAGACTCGGGCCAGCCTGCGGTGTGGTGGTTCAGGCAACTGGATCCCACGTGGCCACCTGTGCAGTTCAAGACCCAGACCTGGCTGCTTGACAAGCTCACCAGGCACATGTGCAGGGTGCCCAAAATCCCAGCAGGAGGAGAAGGGAGGGGAGCGTGGCCACGCCCAAGGGGCGGGAGGTGCCCCTACCCCTGTCTCCTCTCTCTCTCTCTCTCTCTCTCTCTTCCCCCACCACAAACACACCTGACCTCTGGCAAGTAAAAAAAAAAAAAAAAGAAATTCAAAGAAGTATTTAATAGAGTATTTCGTAACTGCTGCTGAATTTCAAGAGTGAGTTGAAGTAATTACCATGCTTATATTACACACCCTTCTAGTCTGGCAGTACTTCCCAGTCTCTTAGAATTAAGCACCTGGGTCACTAAGATGTGTCAGGGCTGCAAGCGTATGACTAGAATCTGGAAAAGGAGAGACCTTGGTTACCTTCTTCCTTCTAAGCTGAACAGGTAGGAAAGCTGCGAATTCACTCGCATTAGGAAAGTGACGGGGTGCTGGTAGCTAACCACGCGGGGAGAAACGTGTCCAGGGGACCAGCAGTTAGCGTAATGGCTATGTTGCTGGACTCCCACGTAGTCGACCACAGTTCGAGTCCTGGACCCGGTGGCTTAAACTCACGCCGGGCGCGTGTGCATGCATGCCCAAGATCCCGAGAGGAGAATGGAGGAGAAGGGATTGCGGCGTGGCCATCCCCTCTGGGGGGTGATTTCTCGCTTTCTATCTCTCTGTCTCTCTCTTTCTGGTGAGCCCACATGCCCTATAGCAAAAAAACCTCTCCAAAAAAAAAAAAAAAAAGAAACGTGTCCAGGAGACGGAAGTAACAGGACCTCTGTGTAGAGGAAGGCCAGTGAGTTCTGTAGTTCCCTGACCCAGGGGTTGTACTCAGGACCTCTGTGTAGAGGAAGGCCAGTGAGTCCGTGTAGTTCCGTGACCCAGGGGTTGTACCCTGAGGCTACTCAGAAGCATAATTGGCCTCCCCTATCAGCTGGTGTGCATTGGAGCACGCATTGATCAAAGCAGGTTATTAAGTTGTAATACTAAATTAAAACTTCATTCAGCTCGTGGTGTTTACAGGCCACTTTCAAAAGCAGTATGTCATAGAAAGTGTTTGAGGTGGAAGGAGATGGAACCACATAAATGTTATGCGAAAAATCATGGGCATTGGCGAGATCTAGGCTTTTCTCTTCCCTGAAGAGGAGGGGTGGATACTGAATTAAGGTTTAAGTTTCTAAAAAGTTTCTAAAAACAGAAAAATCCAGTTCCACCCTGCCCTCTGGTGGCGAACTGATGCATAGCGCTCTCCTGGTCTGAGACCCTGACAGTTTAGAACTTGTTCTTCGGTCTTGCGAGGTCTTTAGTTTGGGGATTTTTTTGTTTTGTTTTTCTTTTTTTTAACTTCTAAGCAATATTGTTTTTATGCTCAAACCTCTGGTAGTCCAAGGGAACACTTAATAGCTAGAAAGTTTGTAGATACTTCAAAGCTTTAACTTTTCCCCCAGAACAGTGTTAATTCAGGTCTTCAACTCGTCACTTGAAGTGCGGGTTGTGGTTTGCTCCGTTAAATCCTAAAGCCTGTTTTTAAGGAGACACGTCTGATTCTGGCCTTCACGTCAACCAGACCGCACTCAGTCCTCTCACTGACGTTAATAGCCAAGGGCGAGATCCTCTGAATCCGGGCAGAACTAGGCAGTTCTGTGACGCCCGATTGGAGCCACACCCAAGATTGTTATTTTTCTATGGTTATTAAAGTAAACACGTGATGGTTGAGTGTATTTCTCATATTTATGTGTTTACTTTGTGTTTTATAATCGCAGCACTGTGTCTATCACAGAATAATACTCCTGCAGCTGTCTCCCCCAACTTTATATCTTTCCCTGACTTTTTTCCAAGCCTCAAGTAGTGACCTGTTTTGCTGGTAGTTGCGTTGAGATGACTCCAAAACTGAACTGGTTTCTTCACTGTTTTCAGTCCCCTCAAAGCCAAAAAGCCTATGACTCAGCGTCACCTAAATTGGTCCCAGGGAATGCCGCTGTGTCAGTGGGAGGGGCCAGAGACTGCCAGGTGAGAGGCAGAGACGACAGCAGAGAGAGGAGGCCGGTGCCAGCGCAGCCCGGCTAGTGGGGCCGTGAGTTCATGGAGCTGAGGAAGCTCAAGGAACGGGCAGGAATAAAGGGCGCATGGGGGCTCCACCCCAGAGCTGAGGCCAGGGTGTTGAAGGCACCACAGGAGGAGAGGGCGAGGAGGGGATCAGGATCTGACCGTCTTCTCTGTTTATTCCAGTATTCATTGAACGAAAGGAAGCTGCTGGAGATGAGGACAGAGATAATGGCGCTGGTAAGAAAGATTTGATGTTCCCTTATCTTCGTCTTCATCTTTGCTTCGTCCCATGTGTGGGTACCTTTGCTCACAATGATGTCTTATAGGAGGGGAAACGAAGGTTCGTGTCCTGGCATTTCTTAAATTATAAAATATACATAACATAAAAATGGCCTCCCTTTTTTTTTTTTTTTAAGAAATTTTTTGTTATAGGGTGTGTGTACTCACCAGAGAGAATGTGAGAAATCACCCCTCAGGGGGGATGGCCGTGCTGTAAGCCTTTCTCCTCCATTCTGTTCTCAGGATCTTGGGCACACACACCCAGCATGAGTTTTCAGCTGCTGGAGCCAAGACTCGAACCATAGTCAGCTGCGTGGGAGTCCAGCAACGTAACCATTACGCTGGTTCCAGAAATGGCGTTGTTAAACATACGGCTGAGTGGTTAAGTGCACTCACATTTCTGAGCATCCCTCGCCTCTGTTCATCACAGAACTCTCTCTATTTTACAGAACCAGAGCTCGGTGCCCCTTAAATACTAACTCCTCCTTCCCTCTCCTCCCCCAGTCCCTGACAACCACCGTTCTCCCTTCTTCTCTACGAACTCGATTAGTCTAGGTACCTCATATGTGTGAAATCATACCGTCTCTGTCGTTTTGTGGCTGGTTTCCCTGCTCTTACAAATGACAGGTTCCCTGCCCCTAGAAAGCTGGGTAGTGTTCCACTGGAGGTGTAGACCTCGCTTTGTTATTCATCTATGGATGAGTGGAACTGGGGTTGCTTCCACCTTTCGGCTGTTGGAAATAACACTACAGTGAACGCAGTGTCCGTGTCTGTCAGAGTTCCTGCTTTCAGTTTGTCGGGGTCCACCCAGAGGCAGTGGTACAGGACTTTTTTTTTTCTTTTTTCGGTTTTTGTCATAGTGCATATGCACTTGCCAGAAACAGAGAGAGATACAGGGAAGGAAAGTGAGAAATCACCCCTCAGGATGGCCACGCCTCGATCCCTGCTCCTCATCCCCCTCTCTGGATTTTGGGCACGTATGCCCGTGCACCCGGCATGATTTTCAAGCTGTCGGGACCAGGACTCCCTCAGGATTCAAACCATTGTCAACCATGTGGGAGTCTAGCACCTTAACCACCACACCACCTTCTGGCCCCACTAAATAATAACTTTTTTTAACTTTTTTTTTTTTAATTGATGTTTAATCACATGTCTTTACAGTGTTCAGCATTTCTTTTTCCAGTACAAATTCCATGCATGTCAGTGAAGACAACTCACTAAATAACCTTAATGAAAGTGTAAATTTTGCAGACTAGAAAAGAATGGAGATGCCATATTTTTGAAATTTCGGGCGTACTTTTCCATACTGTGTTGCCTGGGACCCCTGAAGCCTATGAGAGGCTCCCACAAGAGGAATCTGGAATGCTTCTGGAATACTTTTCTACTCATCGAGGCCTGAATTGATAGCCACAGGGCACTCCTTCCCTGCTCTGGAATTTTTAGTGAGGCAATCTCCGCATTTTTATGCACTAATGCCGTCCTGCAAGCCCCATTTAACACCAGCCAAACCCACTGCCCTTGCGGGGTTGGTTATGTATCTGGTTTAATTATTCTGTATCTGAGGGGCACTCGTGGGCTCTTTGCAGCCAAATTTCATCTTACCGAAACACCTGACACTGGAACTGGGAAAGAAGGAAGGAACGGAGTTAGAAGAAGCACCCCTGCTTTTAGATCAGCACCCCTGCTTTTAGATCACCTAAGGCTCCCCTCGTGTTGTGACAGCTCTGAGTTTACCGTCGACCTTTCACTAAGGGCAATTGACTAGGTCATCAGAGCAGTCATGGCGCAGTTTTCTGGTTTCCAGTGCAAAAATGGGGCATAATTTTCCAACAGCCCAATGGAAGGATGAGTCTTAATTATTGCCCCCGAGCACAGGCTGCGTGGTGCCCCATTGTCTGTAGAGCAGTCCGCCATGGGCACACGGCATCTGATTCTCTAAACGGCCCGTGTGAGGCAGGGCCGATCCCCCGACCTCCGCAGACAGGAGACAGGCCCAGAGAGGTTAAGGGCCCCGAGCAGGGCAGCACGGCCGGATGGTGGCACTAAGGCAGCGCCCCGTCTCCTCGGCCCTGCCCTCCCCAGGATTCCCTGTAACTGCGCCTAGTCAGGAAGGAAGGCAGACTGAGTGCAGAGGGCACAGTACCCGAAGTGGCCTAATCTCTCCGTCTCTGTGTTTAAAAGCACGCCCAGCAGGATCGAGCCCTCACCCAGACAGACAGGAAGATAGAAACCGAGGTCGCTGGCCTCAAAACCATGCTCGAGTCGCACAAGCTTGATAACATTAAATACTTAGCAGGTAAGCTGTTTCATGTCCAAGTATTTAAAACCCTCGGAGAAGTACCCTGACTTTACACACGTCCATGACAGATACTGCATTTCATTGATGGTATTTCGTATTCCAACGTCTCTGATAACTGGAAGACACAATTTCCAGCAGATGGACTATCACACCATAATTGGTATTTCTTCTTGAATAAATGAAATGATGATGTACTTTGCAGTTGATAGAATCTTAAATTTTAAAAGATTGTATAGTGGAACTCCATTTCTTTGTGACTTCAGTGGAGTCTAAGACGGGGAATACTTTCTAGGTGAATAGAACGAACACCTCTGAGTTGGGACCTCTCTGCATTGAGCGGCAGCATTTCCAAGGAGTTATTTCCTTTCGCTCCAGTTTTGTTTTTTTTTCCCTGAAGGCATGTGCACTTGGGAGAAAGCACCTCCTCAGCGGGTCACAGTCACTGCGGTCCCTTCCCCATCTCTCCAGGATTTGGGACACAGATGTGCATATGCCTGGCATGTGTTTCAAGCTACCAGGACCAGGGTTCAAACCATAGTCGGCCATGTGGGTTCCAGCTCCCTTCACCACTGCACTATGGACCGATTTTGCCTTCTTTTTTTTTTTGATTGAGTTCTTTCTTTCATATGAGAAAGAGACCTCAGCGGGCTCTTGCCATGCCAGGATCCTCCCCCGAGGTTCCCATCCAGCCCAACCACAGACAAGCCTGTGTGTTCAGTTGCCCCGGACCTGAACTCCGCATCCTCTCACCTGGCCCCAGCGTCACACGGCAGCACACGGGGCCTGTTTTGCAGTTTCTAAGCTAAAGTAATGAATGAAAATTCATGTGCCACCCCCGTAAAAGAGCTGCTGTTTCAGGCCCGTTTTAACATTTTGGCTCACTAACTGTTTTTAAGTCATAGCAGCAATTAGCAGGGACTTCACTCTTCCTTTTGAAGGGTGCACATACACTTGAACTTTGGGCCCACAGAATGGTGGCGATCCTAAACTCCCTGGAATGTTCCCTGATCATTGGCTACATTAGTACTTTGGAGATGATGTCACGGTACCGGCGTCTTTCTTAGCAGGCAGGGGCTTTCCAGCTGACGGCAGGCCAGTGAGCGATCTGAATCTCGGTTTCGTTTTTGTGCGTCTTCTTGGTAGTTCAGCGAATGAGCGTCTGTGTTTTCTTAATAAAAGATGTCCCCTCAGGTGGCTGTTCACACTAACAGTACTCTCGGTTCTTTTCTCTTCCAGGGTCCATATTTACGTGCCTAACCGTAGCTCTGGGATTTTATCGCCTGTGGATATAATAAAGTGTCTATTTAAAGGGATTTCTATTGTTCTGCCTTAAAAATACCAGATTGTTGTCCCATGTTTTTCTTACTGTAAATTCTAGCCCTGGTTTTGACTGAACGCATATTATTTATATTTTCTCTAACGATGGACACACACCCAAGGTAAAGACGCCAGGAGTTCTGTATCGTCTTTTCTGTGCAGTCGGCTTGACCACCAAGTAGCACCGGGCAGCCACTGAAGAGCCCCCTCAGCCGGACCAGGACGCGTGGGCCGACCTGTGGCGTAGACCAGCAGGGGGTACTTGTCAATTCCCTGCAGTTGGACTTCTGTCACTTTCAGGATTTGGGCTCTCCACTTCAGGGGCACGATGGCGCCAGTGCGTGCTGCAGAATGGCTGGCACTCACACGAGCTCGGCTCTCTGCCTGCGGCCCGACCGTCCTGCCCGCCCGTCCTCGCCCAGCTGGTCAGTGTGGTGCAGTACCATGGTCTTCCTGCCTTTCCTTTTGACTTCTGTCTTCTAAGTTCTCGTTGTGGATTTTTCGTGTGCCTTCCAGCTAAAAAAATCTCGTTGCCTAATTAGGCGTGTCATTGTCACGGGGACCGCTTAGAAGGCTCGGTTTCTGTCTGCATTTTCTCCCTGTCCCCTTCATGACACTGCCCATGCGACATCACCCATGGGGGAGACCTGCTGGATCTCAGTGCGGGATTCCGCTTCCTCTGGGCCTTCACCTGCTTTTCAGGGGGGCCTACACCCGTTGACCAGGGAACCTCGGCTCGCCAGTGAATATGCCTCGGCCTGTGGCCAGCCCGGCTCGCAGGCTCTCAGAGAACTGTCATGCCGCCTCATCCCCAGTCCAGGTGGCTTTGTGGTTGTCAGAGCATTCTCATCCCTATCTTACCGCTCCATTGAAAGCAAGTAACCCTTGGGAGCAGTTGGCATAATAGCTATGTCGTTGGACTTCCATGTAGTGCTACTCGAACTACGGTTCGAGTCCCGGACCTGGTAGCTTAAAACTCATGCCGGGCGTGTGTGCGTGTGTGCCCAAGATCCCGGGAGGAGAATGGAGGTAGAAGCAACCGCATCAGTAGGCCCTTTCTGTCCTCCACGTGCACCCGTCTGCCCACCACCCAGGACAGTGGAGAAACCACTTGATCGCATTGATGGAGTAAGTCATCTACTGTCACTGTGCCAACCACTTTGGTTTAAAGAGAAACTGTCTTTCAGATGTCGCTGGTAAACTTCAAGCCCTGAAAGTCCTCGCCTCATTAGAAAACATTTGTGTCATCGAGATTGAGCTCTGTGTAGTATGAAAATCAAGTGCGTTAGTGATAGCAGTTTCAGAGTAAAGTATTGTGATTTCCTCTTCTTCAGGTCGGTCACAAATTGTCTCAGCTACTTAATACTTCCTTCCCTTTTACGGAAGAGGCCCCAGACAGACCTGCTCTTTAAGCAGTTGCCTTAAGCACGATGGCTTTAGTAGAGGGTAACAGCTCAGTGGATGGTGGATAATTAGCGCCACACCTGTGCCTGCTCCACGGCCCTGTGACATTGGTTGGTTAGAGGTTGGACAAAGGGCGTGGAGCCCAGACACGTACCAAGTCACACCTCCAAAGTAAAGACTCCTCCAGACGAGAAAGCACCGCGCGGTTAGGTTTCTGAGTAAACACTGCCCTCGCGGAGGTCAAGAGCAGAGTGGAGCGGCCTTCTGTCCTGCTCACGTACTTGTAAAACCACATGTGGAAGTATCTGCGAGTCCCTCCCATGGTGGTGGCCACATCATGTCACCTAAGCTGGGCCTCGGTTTTGCTGTGGAGTTCTTTGGGTACCGAACAGCCCTTTTCTGGCTAGGGAACAGTAAACTCCCCTGTGCCTGGTGTGGCTCACATGCACAGCCCCAGCTGAGGAGGGTTTGGGACTGTGAAAGGGATTTACTTAGTCACACGTATTCTGCTTGAAGCGCACTTGAGCCAGAAACGCAGGTGTATCCCTCCCAGGGCTGCTTCAGGTGTGCGGGAGCCGTGAGCCTGTGACGACAGACGTGGTATTTGAACTTGTGCAGCTATGCTGGCTGTGCGGGTTCAGATCCCTCAGAAATCGGGGAAGATGCTGGCAGATCTCCCAGTGACGACCTCTGCCTAGCACCCGGTGAAGCTGGCAAAGCCGGGTCTCTAGGCACGGGGTGGGAGCACCTCGTATACTGGAGGCCAGACACCAGATGGGCAGGACCTTGATTCTCCTTTTCCTGCGCTAACCACCCTGCTCTGGGCGCTTTTCCTCGGCCCGCCTGCTTCGTATCTCCATCCCCCTCTGTTTTTAAAGAGCCTAAGCCCCTCTCTCACTCCTGTCCTCTCCTGCTCTGTCCGTAAGCACAACCCGCATGTCCATTCCCTCCTGGGGACGCCGATTCTGATTCTCGTGTGCTTTCATTCTCCTGGCTGGTTTTCTAGCACCGCATCTGAAGGTGTTCGTTTCCCCGTACGCACACCAGGTGCCTCCACTAGGAAGACAGTTCAGGAGAAAGGCGGGACTCAGCCAGAGGTCTCGCTGGAATTTGTCTGGACACTTTAAACTCCGGAGCCCCAGCAGACGCGTCCCGTGTGCCCGGGCTGCCTCTGTCCCGCCTTCCCGCTGCGTTTCCCCTCAGAGCCATGTTCAGGGACGCCATCTCCCTCCTGTTCCCTGGTCTCCTCGCTGCCTGTTCATTAACCATGTCGGGACGGGCCAGCCTTTCTCTCCCCGCACCCTGACAGGCTGTATTGGAAGAACTTGGCGTCATTTTGAACAACTCATGTCTAGAAAATGCTGGCTTTGGGACCAGCTTTGGCATAATGATCATGTCACTGGACTCCCACGTAGTCGACTGTGGTTTGAGTCCCGGACCCAGAGGCTTAAACTCACGCCAGGTGCATGTGTGTACGTGCAGGCCCAAATCCCGAGACGAGAATGGAAGAGAAAGGATTGCAGCGTGGCCATCCCCCTTGGGGGTGATTTCTTGCTTTCTGTCTCTCTGTCTTTCTCTGTTTCTCCAGCGAGTACACGTACCTGATAGCAAAAATCTCTCTTAAAAAAAAAAAAATGGTCTTTAACTGCAGTTTATCCAATTTATTATGGCTTTTGGGGCACTAAAGCAAAAACATGTTAAGCAGAAATAATTCATTCTGTATGTATATAAAACGTTTGAGACTGTTGAGTCTTATATTTGGATTTTATTTGGAAAATACCTTTCTACAGATTCACATTTATGCTCCTTTGATTACAACCTAAATCATTTCTAAACCCTTTTATTACATAAGCAAACAGTTACATTTTAGGGTCTCATAGAGTGGATGTAATATTTTTATTGTCTAAAGTATTTAATTTTTTCTATGTGACTGATACATTTTTCTAGTTCAAATTAAATATGAAAAACTAGAACTTCCGCCTATACTGTATCTCATCCATTAATCTCATCAATTGTATGACAATTGTGTATGACACTGGTGAATAAACCCCATTCTTGAAAACCTGGATTTACACGAAACAAATTTGAGAGTGATTATTTGGCTTACAAAATAAATTTCATTATTCTAAAGAATGATTTAGCATGCTCATGTAAAACACATCAACTACAAATCTGAGAGAAAATGATGAGATTTATGCATAAGGAGCCCTGAGGCCCCAGGCGATGGGAATCAGGCTAGCTTGAGTGAAAAGAATTTCCTTTTTTGGCATCCGTAACGAAGGTTCAGGAAGGCAAAACCCACACGCCACCAGAACTCACCTGTGCTCCTCCTACCTGCACGTTTCGGGAAGGCGCAAGTTCAGAACCTCCCAGCACACCCCGCTGCCGGTCTGCGGGGGACACAGCACCTGCGCTCGCTGCGTCAGGACTGGAGAACGTGAGCAGGAAGTGGGCAACCCCAGCAGCGGGGCTGCGGCCAGAGCACGGTCCAGAGGAGGGCGCTGCAGCGGCTCGCTGCCCCCTGCACTTCCTGGGGGCCTGTCCAGCAAGTCTCCACGTCTGAAAACTCAGGCTCTGGTCGTCTGTGTGGGCTGACCTTCAGTATAGTGTCTGCTCCAGAGGAAACCTTGAGAAAGTGAGGAAACGAACGGGAAAGGTAACCTGGAAATTAATTTAGGTCGATTTCCTTTTCTCCGACCTTGACGCTTAGACCAAAGTTAGAGACTTATTTTCTAGACCTGAGGATGAACAGCAGGTTTTTACAAAGGGGAGCCGCAGTCGAAGGAGGCAGAGGCCCCAAGTGACTTGTAAGCTCAACCTTCAAGATCAAAAGGCATGTGCAGGCCTCGCCGAGGTGGTGCACAGACTGGAGCCCCGTGGGAGGCCCGGGTTTGACTCCGAGTCCAGCCTAAAGCTGGTTGTGGAGGCTGGAGGATTGCAAGTTGAGCCTGGCCTGGACGATATCACAACCCGGTCTAAAAAGAGCCCGACATGGTGGCCGGTGCCTGTGGTTCTAGCTGGGAGGCAGAGGCAAGAAGATTGCAAAAACAAGAGTGTGCTGGGGAGAAGAAAAAACAAAACATTTGCTGTGTTAGATCTTAGTCACGGTCCCATTGTCTTCCCTAAGCTCTTACTCAGTGCTGTGTGAATGATTGCACTGGGAAAGAAGAAAGGTATTCAAGAAATCTCCCCCGCCTCCCCCCAGGAACAATGGCCACACCGCAATCCCTTCTCCATTCTCCTCTCAGGATTTGGAGCTTGCGCGTACATGAATTTCAAGCCTCCGGGTCTGGGACTCGAACTACATTCACCCATACAGGAGTCCATTGCCCTAATCACTATGTCATGTGCTGGACCCAAAGAAAGTTTTGTTTTTGTTTTTTTTTAAAATATGACTAAAGTGGAGTTAAAACAAGTACTGCTGCTCTTAATTATCCAAAGATGGCCTTTTTTTCCCCCTTGAGTCTGATACCTTTGAAAATAAAATTGTTTTAAAGGAAGGCATTTTCTAGAAACAGTTTTCACGCCAGACTCTCAGTTGGTGCCATGCCACAGTAGAGCTTCCCCAGTCGTGCCACCAGCCGTGCCTCCACCTTCCTCTGCAGTGTCCCCTGCCA